AAATATGGAGCATTGGATTGTGACCCAGTGGCTAGCTCAATGGTAACGCGCTGGTCGCGGAACCAGAAGGTCGTGGGTTCGATCCCTGCTGGTGGGGTGGTGGGTGCGCACTGCTGAGGAGTCCCATACTAGGATGAAACAGCTGTCCAGTGCTCCCAGGTTTCCTTTGTTCCTCCAACTGATGTCAGTCTTCGATGAATAACAACTTGAAATAATTCCAAATCTCCACATCTCCCTCAAAATTGATATTAAATAGTGAAATATAGGTCAAATGTTGTCAATGAAGTGGTGATGATAATACCAAAGTGAAGTGAAATGAAATGAAATTGACAAAAGTAACCAAGACTGAATTTTGGTTTCACAGAATGACTTTCTAACCATTATGAAATTAATTCAATATTCAATTTGTTTATTTGATCTATCACACACAGTGATACAGTTTTATTTACTTGATGATGTTTTGAGCATAAATTATTACTGCTCATAATCATTTCAGTATAATCATAGTACTTTCGATATCTGACTTTTATAGACCTGTCACCTCATAGTCCTGGTTTCTACTGTTAGTAAAATATTCCATATCTCTGATATAGGTGTTGCATCTTTCCTATTTCATGTGTTAGGTGTAGATTCGATACAGAAAGCTTTAGTAATCAATCTGTCTCTGTCTCCACTTAATTATATCAGACTGAAGGAAATTTGTTCTATCATACCTTATTGTGTGGTTGTGTGTTAATGGAGGGATTACAATAACAGAGTTGCTTTCTGGATTATTGATCTTATTCGGGTCTATCATTCTATATTTAGCTAAATTCCTATCTTCCACTATTCTAACTGACCCTAACCGGCTAGTTTGACCTATGTACTTGACCCCATAATCATCACATGGAATTTGATAGATCAGATTATTTTGCTTAATTTGTGCTATCGGATCCTGAGGCAACCAAAGCTTATCGCTGAGTGACTTTGTTTGAATTATATTTCCCCATTATGCCCAAGTTTTACAATTATATTATGAAATTAATTTTTAAAAATCATCTCTGTTAGCTGAAACGAAATGTGTACGTGCATCGTTAATCTACATAAATTATTATACTTTCATCCTATTTTTATTCTCTTGTTAAATAATTATACTCTATAAATTATTTTAGACTTAACCTACACTTACCTAATTGATCAAAGAAATCGGTGAGAACCATTGGTGACAGAAGTTAATCGTAGAAGTGTAACCCGAGAAATAGTGTTATCCACTAACATTTGGGTACCGTTGCTCAGTGCTATTGAAATTAAGCATTTAACAAAAACTACAACTATGGATAGTGACTAGAAGTGGAAGACAGGACGTGCCTTTCGTCATATTTAAGACATATAAGCTGGATGCACCGGCTCTCCATTAGGTGTTGTTCCCACTCAAACTGTAACCTAGGATCGATCGCAGCTCTATCCACCAGGCTACTGAGTCACAATAGTCACTCTTTATGCAACAGGCATAGTTTCAATGTCGTTGATCGGACTAAATTGATCGGTTTCTAATGGCATATGGGCTCCTGTGTCTATGCCTCGACAGTAATAATAAATATTGACTAGCAGTGAAATTCAGGTCGCGCATTATGTTCTATCTAGAAAGTTTGAAGACATTATTTCTGAATTGCAGTCTTAGTGGAAACAGACAGCTAAACCTAGCTGACAAGCCGTAATGAGGACAAAACGCACTTCCAGGAATCCATAACCAGCCACTATCCATCATTATTAACAAACACAAAATACCGCAAATAATGAGACGTCTGCACAGGAGCTCATATGCCAACAGAGATTCATCAATTCGGTCCTGTCAATGACGTGAAATTACAAGCAATTACACCAACAGTTGTAACTGATTAACCAACGTGATCCAAGATATATTCTAGCTGAATAGTTTACAGAAAACCCCTCCACAGCACTGAACACTCAAACACCATACTATTTAGTTGACGACCTGCATGTTTTAGTTATGAATAATAAAGTAGAGCTATCAAGTCAAGGCTGCCTACCATCACCGATGATCTTCCTGATTGTAGTCAACTGGACTGGACTGGACTGGACTGGATCATGCAGTAAACTGTGATGAACGAGAAGATGTGTGTATGCTGGACCGATGAGAAGAGGTTGGAAGATTTGTATTTCGCCAACGATGATGATTTGTGTCTAGTGTGTTGTGACAGAAACTCTAAGATCGACAGGTGAAAAGTAAGAAGTTGACAGAAGAGGCAGGGCAGTGAAGACGGGACTTCAAGTGAATGTAGAGAAGACAGAGGTGATGAAGACACAACCAACAACGGCATCAACAACAACCACCAATCATGATGAAGGAGAGGAACCTAGAGGAAGTAGTCTCTTTCTCCTACTCACCTACATAGGCAACATCGTTCCAACTACAGACGACATATACACAGACGAGGATGTCAAAGCAGCCAGCATCGGAAACACAGACTTTCATTAATCTGAAATTAGTGTGGAGATATGCTTCAGCACAAAGAACAAGATCTGGATTTTCAACACCAATGTCAATTCAGTGTTTCTGTATGCGTCAGAGACTTGGCATGTCACGAAAAGCATTTTGCAACAAACTACAGATATTCATCAACAACTGCCACCCACACCCGCACTCACTCGATACTGAAGATCACACCAAATGGCCAGAATGATGAGCAAGAATGAGCAACAAGTAACTCTGACCTCCTAACGAACCAACGAAGCAAGAAGCTATCACCGAACAAATATGAGGAAGAAGAAGAAGAAGGAAGTTGAGATTGATTGGATTGTGCATACAGTGAGAAGGTGAAGTGGGAACATGATGCAGCAGACGATGCCGTGGAGTGGAGTGTAATGGAAAGGGGAAACGATGAGTTGGTCGTGTGATGTGAGGAGGAAATGAAAGTTTGTGGGAATTGTTTGACCAGATTATGAAGACTGTAGATAAGAGAGTGGAATGGAAGTATGCTAATGTATGCCTATCCTCCACTAGGAACCCAAGGGTAAGATATTAGTAATAATGAAGTCATAGTTCAATCTGCAATAACACAAAACACAAAGTTGGTTAACTATGCTGAAATCTTCTAATAGAGAGAGTTAGGTGTTAGTTAGTTGGAGGCAATCGGCAGGAAGCCCTGGACCTATGTTTCGTGCTTTTTGGCCTACGTCAGCAAGGCGTATCTGCAATCTCGACGGAACTGATGTGCCACCCGAGATTCGAACCCACGTCACCCAGTGTTGTAGTCAGCGACTTTACCACTGAGCTATTTGGGCCGCAACTGACCTCCTGTAGGACTGGCTTACATGTATTGATTGGTCACGGGAGTGCAGAGAGAGAGAGAGAGAGAGAGAGAGAGAGCTGATTTTACTAAATGCCTATATCCTTTATTTTCTTGAGATCTTAATGAAAATCATTGAAAAATTATTTGATTATCACTTAAGTAGTAAACTTTCTAATGTTTTATCAGTAAATTTTTCCAATGGTTAAAGAGATAAGGTTCAGTTTTAAAATGTGTTGAAGCTTATATTACCGAATAAAATGTTAGTTATAACAAGAAAATATTTATTGGATAGTGAATGTTATCCCCTAACTAGTAAAAACTAAACTGTGTGTATACTATAAGGTGAGGTTATTTTAAGTAAACAAATAATTTTGTATACATTATAAACACCAGTATTATTCAGTGGAATTAAGTAAACTCAATAAATCTGTTTACTATGATAAAAATTGGTTGTTTATCTTCAGTTCAATGATATTTTATAGAGTTTTTAAAAAAAACTTGATATAGAGATTTATAGTTTTTTTATAGTTTGTAAGCAGAAATTTCCTTATATCATACTGTTTACTTAGAAAAAGAAAATTACATGAATAAATATATTGAATTATAAACTAAGCAGACATACTGAATGCAACTAGATAAACGTCTTATAGTATGATTACCATAATAACTCTTAATTTATTTTTGTATGATGACTATTTGTTGTGAGCATGAGTTTTGTTTAATTTGAAGATTTCTCAGGATTTATTTATACATTTTAAACTGGTATTCTCTATGAACTGAAATCATTTTTGAAAAGTATATTGAAAAATTGAGAATAGTGAACAGTTCTTGTAAAACATTACTGATTTCTTACAGTTAGTAAACTTTATACTAAACTGTTTTGCAATACAGAATGAATTATTTTTTAAAAAATAACATTTTGATTAATTTCTTCAGTATAATAGAGAGTTAACTTTCTCTATGTTGATGGTTGATCCGGATTTTCAACACCAACATCAGTCAAGTCAGTGCTTCTGTATGGCTCAGAGACTTGGCGCGTCACGAAAGTGATTTCCAATAAACTAAAGACATTCGTCAACAACTGCTTACGCTCGCTACTGAAGATCAGATGGATTGCCAGAAAGAATAATCAACAAGAAGCTCTGTGAACGAACCAACCAAGAACCTATCATGCAACAAATATGCCGGAGGAAGTGGAGATGGATTGGGCATACACTGAGAAGGCCGACTGAGGACATCACGCATCAGGCCAGTTGCTCGAGTGGAATCCCCATGGGAAGCGACGAGTTGGGCGTCTGAGGCGAGGGTGACATGGAGGAGGTCGTGCGAGGAGGAAATGAGAGGTTACGGGCTGTCGTGGAACCAGGTTGAAAAGATCTCAGAGAACACAGTTCACTGAAGACGTGCTAGTGAAGCCCTATGTTCCACTATGAACCCAAAAGACTAATAATAATAATAATAATAATGTTGATGGTTAGTCAGACAATTGTAGTTTATGTGTTTTAAAAGATTATTCCCTTTCACTTGAGTTAATATACTCTAAAATTGGTCATTATAAATTTTACCGAATGCAAGGTAACTACTCAAGTTTCTGATATTATCGAAACGAAATAAAGTATAATATAGGAGTATAACCTTATGAAAAATTTATTCATTAACGATTTTACAATTCAACAAAAGTGAAACTACTACCTGTTATCAATTTACCTTATCACAGTGAATCCCAGCAGCTGAATCAGCTTGAGAAAGATGATTCTTTGTAGATATAACTGCGTGTGAAACTGAAGCTCTATAAATATTTTCCAAAGAATCTGTACCAATTAATGTATTAGTTAAGCGTCTCCATCGGACAGCATTTGTAGTTGGTGCTGGATTAGCTTCTGATTGACACATCAACTCAGCTTTTTTACCAGTTACAGTAACATTTATTGATGAGGGACCAATCAACTGAGGACCATCTTTATTGTAAAACATGAAAAGATAAATTAAATGTTGATCAGTAAATATAAATCGATTATTAGAACCCAACTACTCATTCAGTGTAAAACAAAACTTAGTGGGTTTTTTTTACAGTGAAAGTTGAGAATATGCATAAATATCTAAAGTGGATATTTATGAAAAATGTTTGGTTGAGCGTTTTTTTTTCTAGAATTTAAACCTTTTGTTCAGTTTTTACTGATAATTATCATTACAGTTTATTTTAGCTTCTCTACATTGACTAAAAGTTAATTGACATTCAGATCTCAGAATTATCCAGCAGCTCAATAGTCGCGCTATATCTTGAATTAACGGAAGTGGACTGTTGAACTACGGCCCAGTAGCTGAATGGTTAATGGGCTCCCCAGGAAACCTACAGATCTCAGGTTGGATCTCCAGCCGGGGGTCGAACTCCTGAAGAGTTCCATACTAGGATGAAGCTGCTGTGCAATACTTCCAGGTATTCAATAGTTCTCCAGGTGATAACAGTCCATGATGAATACTACCTTAAAGACTGATTTTAGTTCTGTTTCGTGATTTTTTTTATCCATCAATGACAATCTTACTAATCGCATTTTTATTGTCATAATCTGTCAGGGAATTATAAAGCTCAACCATTCCAGAGGGTTAAATTTCTTCCTTTTTCAAAAATAGGTAGTTAGGTAAAACCAGGTGGTTATAGAACAAAAGACTCACATTGAAGTCAGTTGGTACGAGCGAATGATGAACACTGATATACAGGGCAACTGAATCCAATCTAATGATATATTCAATGAGCATTGCAGACATTTTCATATCCATCACCTTTCTAAGTGATGATCCACCAGTGAATGAGGTTACTTATTTGTGACATCAAAAAACAAGATATTTAGCGAAGAGAAGGACTCTTTGCAACAAGTTCATTCTCAAGCTGTACATTCGTATATACATGATATTCAAAGACTTTAATTCGTGAGGTTGATTTAACTTAAGTAAAGGGGGTTGTACCAATAATGATAATGATGGTTATAATTATGATTTTGTTAATTGATGACGTAAAGCTCGAATGATAACAAAAATGGTTGTGTAGGATTTTCAAATCGTTTATAAGGTGCATTAAGATTAAAAAGGAAGTGAGAACATTAATAAACAGGATGACGTAGGATAATGTCATAGGTGTCAGTGATTGGCTTGATTTGTGTTATATGCTTTTTGAGAAGCCATCGTCTTCAAGACTTGTCGAAAGATGAACGCAGACAATTTGAGGACTATATCTCTGTTGCCTCTTAGAAGCAGATTGACATTCTAAAACCAATGGTTATGAAAAGAAAGTTCCCGGGAAAATCCTGACAAATATGTATTTCATTATTCTTCAGTATTTCTCTCGGAAATCCAGTTACAAACTCTATCATTGGGTCCTAAGTTCTGAAGCAGCACATTGAAAGTTAACGGATTCCACACTCAGGCGCAATTCGGAAACCTAATTAGTCAGACTTCCGATCTTTCTCCGGCATCACCACAGGATTCCCGACATTTTAAATCCATTGTTCTTGACTGCTGTCACCAGTTCGCTTGTTCAAAATCTAGTTTGATTCATCTGCTGACAAAGGAGCATATAACACAACTCAAGCCGATCACTGACACTGATGATATCTCAAGTCGTCCTGTTTATTAATGTTCTCACCTCCTTTTTAATCTCTATGTACCTTATAAAGGATTTGAATATCTTACATAATCATTTCTGTAATCATTCGAGCTTTACATCATCAACTTGCGAAATTGTAATTATAACCACCATTATTATTATTATTTGGTTGGTTGTGGCTAGCAGGAGAATCCAGGATGCGCAATTCGTTCAATTTAAACTCTTCAGCTGGATGTACCTTCACTTCAGTGATGTTGTTACCACTGAAGGCACATCCGGCTGATGAGTCCCAAGTAGGACGAAACGCGCATCCTGGATTCTTCTGCTAGCCACGACAAACCAAATTATCAGAATTAAAATTCAAACTGTATTGAGGCATCCGCATAAGAGATCATATACCAATACAGGTCGAACAATTCGATCCAACAAAGCAACGGAGAATAACAGGTATGCCAATAAATAGTAACACCATTACTATTGTTTCAATCCTCATTATTTAAGTTGAATCTTCCTCATGGATTACAGTTTCTGAATATCATATATATATATATACGAATGTGTAGCTTGAAAATGTTAATAAACAATCAAAGGATTAGGTAATATGAGAGAGACAAGTTAATTGAAGTAAATTGAAAATGGTATAATTGTATTTATATCATACCGTTGTTGATTGGACCGAATTGATCGCTCTCTATTGACATATGGGCTCTTGTGTGGATGCCCCTATATTGCCTACGTTCTAATTATGTTAGTGATGGATCGTGGCTAGCATTGGAATCTAGGATGCACATTTCATCCTATTTGGGACGTTCCGGTAGGAACAATATCACTCACTGGGAAGCAGGTATATCCAGCTGACTAGTGAGTCTTAAATAGGACGAAATGCGCATCCTGGATTCCACTGCTAGCCATGATCCATCATTAATATAATTAGAACTCAGGCAATATCGAAGCATCAGCACAGGAGGCCATATGCCAACAGTGACTGATCAATTCGGTTGAATCAACGACGGTATAATACAAGCAATAACAGTAAATTAGAGATATTTCAAAGTATTCACACAAATAACTACACTGATATCGACGAAGATTAGATTGTTAAGCGACATTTAAGAAAAATGGTTCAAAACTCCTATTTTTAATTTTTCTTGTTTAATACAGGTACCTTGATGAAACCTCTGCTGTTTACAGAGATAGAAAACATGCAGGTGAATTGTTTGACAAGCTCAACAAGGTTTATCGCAACTTCAAATTTACGTTAAAATATGAAAATGATAATTTCAGTCATATTGACCTCAAAATAAGAAGAAATATTGATGAAAAGATTGTAAAGACCATTCACAGAAAAGATGTGTGAACCGGATGACACCTTAAATAAAAGCACTTCATATCCTTTCAGCTATAAACTTCAGTTAGTCAAGACACTACAACAGAGCTAAGAAATTATGTTCTAAAAACAAGATAAAAGAAGCAAAATTTATTGAGAAGTGTATCTGAAAGAATGGACAACATGAAGGATTCATTCTGAAGTATGGATGGGAACAGATAGAGAGGAATAAACAACCAACTGTGATAACCAAGACACTTTTATATTCCTTAGACTGAAAAGGGATGCAGTATCCAAGTGAGTAGACGCACCAATCAAGAGAACACTGTAACGAAGCATTCACACACACAATCTTCTATCAATATACAATATGACATTCTAGCTAAACTAGTTAAAACTAAATAATCACCACCACCAACACCACCACCACCAACACCACCACCACCACCACCAACACCACAAACCCACTCCCCACAGTCTCACCTCCAACTGCATTCATCAATTCACATACATCTACGACACCAAATACATTGAAACGTTTGAGTGGTGGATGTTCAGTATTCAGTTGACTGAACATATCTCTCCATGAATCTCCACTTGGAAAGAAGTCAAATTGTATTGAGTGTAATTACCAGACACCTGATAGTCACAGTATATCAGTTTGAAATTTTGAGTGATTTTGAAATAATCAACGTACATTGGATGTGTGGATTACTGGGCTTCTCGTGAGTGAGTGAGAGTGAAGGCAATAAGAGGAATTTCAACGTGACATATGGCATGCAGAATGGGAGTGAGGCTTCTGTATCACTCCCTTGATGAATATGATTGTCGACATTTTCAGTTTTATAGTGATGATTGATAATGGCTAGTGGTGGAATACAAGACGTGCACTTCGTCATTTTTCGGCTCATCAGCCGGATGTGTCTGTATGCTAATAAGTGATTTAGTTCACAGTGAGATTCAAAGCCAGAACTTCAGAGCATTATCCATTTAGCCAGTAAGTTAAGACAGCTTTTGCTTGGGCAACAGATTTTGTTTTTATGTCATAGCTTGTTTGCTATGTAAATATCATACGTTCGTTAGTAGAATAAAGTGTATGAGAAATGTCTTCAATGAGAAGGACATAGTACTGCTTTTTTAAACCAGACTCCTATGATTTGCTAATATCAGTGTATGTGCGTCACTGTACAAGTATCATCATGAAAATATGAAAATTGTACAGAACTTGTAACTAACCTACATAACACTTGAAACTTTCAGGAAGTAGAATTCTAATAATTTTTAACTTGCAAGTAAACTTTTGCTCCTATATGGTCGTAAAATGAACAGTGCTGCTCAATACTTTCTGAATTTCAAGTTGTTATTCATCGTAGACTGACATCAGTTGGAGGAACAAAAAAACCCTGGAAGCACTGGACAGCTGTTTTCTTCTAGTATGGGACTACTCAGCAGTGCGAACCCACGACCCCACCGGCAGGGATCGAACCTGCGACCTTCAGTTTTCGTGGCCATCACGTTACCATTGAGCCACTGGGTCAGAACTCAATGGTCTATATTTCCAATTTCTGTTAGCTTACGATATAGCGTAACCACCACCTAATGTCATCGTTGAGTAAGTGTCCTCATCATTATCAAGCTTTAAATTTCGGTTTACATTCACTTGAAATTTATTTTTCATCTTTATTAATTAGTGTCTGGACACTTGTGATAAGTCGAAACTTACTAAAACAGGAATGCCTTTCGGTAGAAATACTTTAAATAATTCAATAAAAAAATAAATCAGTTTTTAATTGTTTTCATGGTTATTCTATCAATGGTTGAATATGTTGTTTGAATATTATGCATTGGAGTAGAATACACAAAAATTACATACAATCAGAATATTAAAAATCAGCATTTATGCATAAAGCCTTGAACTCACAGGTAACATTAAGGAAGAAGGTGAATTCTTTACTTCCTAATGAATTGGTTGCAACAAGTGTATAATTGGCCATATCTAAACGTTTAACAGGTTGAATAATTATTCTTGTTGGATTGACAATAATCCGTTTATTGGAATCTTTTATAATTTTTAAGCTTTTATCATTTTCTTCATCTTGATGACTAGTGAATATTTTTGTTATATCTGTCGGATACGACATAGGAAGCGGTGTACCATTTCGAAACCAAGATGATTTACTTAGAGAAGGATTTGATATCGGCTCTAGGTCTAAGTCAAGTGAACCACCTATTCAAGAATAATAATAAAATAGTTTATATGAAACTAATGTACTTAAATTAGTACTAAATAAACCAGGAAAAATTAACATACACATGATTTATAGAATAAAAAAAGGTTAATTAAACCTTAAAGTCACTTAGTTTCTCAAAATATGCCAGGGTTGAACTCGTCATGAACTGACATCAGTTGGAGGAATATTTGAGACCTGATAGAACTCGACATTTGTTTCATCCAACTACGGAACTCCTCAGCAGTGCGCACCCATGACCGCATCAGGCATTGAACCTAGGATCTTCAGGTTCTGTGGCCAGCAAGTTACATTAAGACATTGGATCGGAATCCAATGGTCCATATTTCCTACTTCTGTCAGTACCTGACATAGAGTGACCTTAATCCAACATCTCCTTTGAGTAACTGTCCTTATATTCGACTTAGTGGACTCTACCGGTCACAACTTCTCATTGGAACTTCCAAAATCATCTCTCGTAGCTAGTCACCAATCAGCGTTAGAACAATTCTGTCTGGAGGTTTGTGGAGATTTAGTTATTGATTTCAGGTTGGAATTCATCATGGACCAACATCAACTGGGTATTAAACCCGAAGGTTCAATTCCTGGCTGGGTGGGGTCACACTAGGAGGAAACAGCTGTTCAGTGTTTCCAGACTTCCAGTCCATGATGAATTTCATCCAGAAATCAATAAATAAATCTCAACAAACCTCCAGATTGATTTTATGTGTTATTACAGCACAGCCTTAGAATTCTCAGGCTGCTAATAGGCAACTATCCACTCCTTGTTCCTGGTTAGGATATGTGAATGATTCTACAGTACAACGGAAATCGTTCTCCTACTAATCATTTGAATTAAAATTGCGACCGTATTATCCCTTAAATTTAGTTGATACAAGTCTGTTAAAGATGAAGAAGTAAACATCAAATGACTTTATTATCTATACTGTACTATATCCCAATTTTAGCATCAAGACTTCCAACTTGTCAAAAAACGTTTTCTTCAATTTTCATAAAAAAGCAATCAGAGCTTAATTGGTCCTACGTCTTCACAAAAACAAAAGTCGTTATAGACATGTCAAATTTATTTTTTTCTGTTTAGATATAATGTCATGGAAAGGCAGTCAGTCGTCACATTAATTTGCATAATATTCCCGAATGGAACTAATACTTAGTCAACTAATACATGACGTTTTGTCTGAATTTGTTTTCTACAGTAGTAAAGTATTTTAAGATCACTTTTATGATGCTAATGAGACATAATGATTAATGTATGTAGTTTTCAATTATTCATTTTGCATATGGGTTTATCGGGAAAGCATATTTTGACAAATTTTCTTTATCAAAACAAAATCCTAGATGGTTTCTAACGGAAAGCTTGTTGACAATATTGCAATTGTTTTGTGAAAACATTGTTCAGGCATAAAAATGTCAATATAGAATGAATATTTTTCCCCCGTTAGTTTTCTAGTCGTTTTATTCATTCTTAGGGTTACGATCCTATATTAATCAGTCCGTCGCATTCGACTACCTTTAATAGGACAAGTATACGGCTCTGTAGTCTATTCTCTCCTATCAGATGACTATAAGACATTGCGTTTAATAGCATAAGACACTAGGCGGTTACAGGATTTTGATCATAGATGTCTTTGTCACATTGGTCGCGTTTGGTGAAATCACAGTGTGAGGAATGTTAAGGTCAGGCGAAGGGTACTAGACAAGACAAGCAAGTTGATTGGTAAAGCTATGAACCTTAGTCGACTGAGATGCCTTAGGCATGTACTGAGCATGCCAAGTCACCACCTTTCTCAACGTTCTATCCTCGGGAAAGCTAGATTAGGCTTGAAGAGCAGTCAGGCTGACCAGATTAGTATGTGGCACCAGTGCATTAAAAACCTGACTGACCACATGAAATGCAGAATGCCTGATTGGGGTCCATGGGATAAAAAGAATGAGTGGTTGAGGTCTGTTAGCGAGATGGCTGAACATTAGTCACTATGGAGCAGATCTATTCATTCCATGACATCTTCTAAAGCTTGCAAGTCTTGACTAACCTTTATTTTTAAATCACATACCCCACTATACAACGTTGTTTATCATGATATCAGTCTATCATATTCACCTAGACTTTGTATACCAATGTAAAGTGTGGGAACTTAAACTGAAGCACTTATGTAGAAGGTTGGAAGAATGAGGTGAGTAGGATGAAACCGGGAAATAAGAGAACTTGTCGGTCATTATGTGCTCACAATATTTCAACATTAAAAGTACTAATAAACCTCAAACATAGTTATTAAAACAACTTGGAAGAATATCCATGTCTTATGTAGGAAACAATATTCCAACGGATATTGTCAGTCTAATAATTTTCTCATAAAAATAAGACGGATAGTTTCATAAAGGTTTTGTTATTTACTGTTATTTACTCTAATCAACAATCAAACAGATTGAAAATAATTTACTTACCTTGCAGGTTACCTATTCATACATTCAATAGGGGAATCATAGAAAATACTCTGAAAGTATATAACTTCAGCTTGTGTTTTTAAATGGCATAAGCAGAAAAAGCGTCTTTTCACTGAGGTTTACTTATGAATAAATGTAGACATGAACGCGTTGGGCATCGTTTATAATAAATATGTGTTTAAATATACCGGCATAAAGAATTATTTTTTGAGTGTTGTGTAATATGATATCATTAGATTTCATTGAATTTTGAAAGATTTTTCATTTACCTGTTACTTCTTTCAGTTTATACTAACAGATTGTGTGTATTAACTGAAAGATAACCTTACTTTGATTTCAGACTTATTTCCTGCCCAGTGTTTTAGTAATAAGACTCAACCTAGTGGATTAACTAAAGGGAACTCTTAAAAGCATAATGGTTACCCTACGAATCTTTTTTCGATATCAATTAACCTATAAGTGGTTTGACAATTTAAAGTTCTGGATAAAATATATTTTATAATATAAAAAATTGGATGGTAATGAGGTCTAAGTGATTAAATAAAAATTGTTTCTGATGCGAACACTTTTCATCTATTATTCACTATTATTATTATCATTATTATTATTATTATTGTTATTATTATTATTATTATTATTTGTTCCTTGGGTTCCTAGTGGAACATAAGGATGCAGTAGCACGTCTCCATTCCACTCCGCCTCTCCAGTCTTCAAAACCTCACTACAGTACTGCACACAAGATCTCATTTCTTCCTCACACCATCTCCTCCATGTCACCCTCACATCACATGACCAACTCATCGTTTCCCCTTTCCATTACACTCCACTCCACGGCCTCGTCTGCTGCATCATGTTCCCACTTCACCTTCTCACTGTATGCACAATCCAATCCATCTCCACTTTCCTCTTCTCCTGCATATTTGTTCGGTGATAGCTTCTTGTCTCGTTGGTTCGTTAGGGGGTCAGAGTTGCTTGTTGCTTATTCTTGCTTATCATTCTGGCCATTTGGTGTGATCTTCAGTATCGAGTGAGTGCGGGTGTGGGTGGCAGTTGTTGATGAATGTCTGTAGTTTGTTGCAAATGCTTTTCGTGACATGCCAAGTCTCTGACGCATACAGAAACACTGAATTGACATTGGTGTTGAAAATCCAGATCTTGTTCTTTATGTTGAAGCATATCTCCACACTAATTTCAAATTAATGAAAGTCTGTCTTTCTGATGCTGACTGCTTTGACATCCTCGTCTGTGTATATGTCGTCTGTAGTTGGAACGATGTTGCCTATGTAGGTGAGTAGGAGAAAGAGACTACTTCCTCTAGGTTCCTCTCCTTCATCATGATTGGTGGTTGTTGTTGATGCCGTTGTTGGTTGTGTCTTCATCACCTCTGTCTTCTCTACATTCACTTGAAGTCCCGTCTTCACTGCCCTGCCTCTTCTGTCAACTTCTTACTTTTCACCTGTCGATCTTAGAGTTTCTGTCACAACACACTAGACACAAATCATCATCGTTGGCGAAATACAAATCTTCCAACCTCTTCTCATCGGTCCAGCATACACACATCTTCTCGTTCATCACAGTTTACTGCATGATCCAGTCCAGTCCAGTCCAGTCCAGTTGACTACAATCAGGAAGATCATCGGTGATGGTAGGCAGCCTTGACTTGATAGCTCTACTTTATTATTCATAACTAAAACATGCAGGTCGTCAACTAAATAGTATGGTGTTTGAGTGTTCAGTGCTGTGGAGGGGTTTTCTGTAAACTATTCAGCTAGAATATATCTTGGATCACGTTGGTTAATCAGTTACAACTGTTGGTGTAATTGCTTGTAATTTCACGTCATTGACAGGACCGAATTAATGAATCTCTGCTGGCATATGAGCTCCTGTGCAGACGTCTCATTATTTGCGGTATTTTGTGTTTGTTAATAATGATGGATAGTGGCTGGTTATGGATTCCTGGAAGTGCGTTTTGTCTTCTTTACGGCTTGTCAGCTGGATTTAGCACTGAATCGTTTACGTGTATTTTTCCTGGATTTCATGTATTTTCTATAGATTTATTTTCTAACGGTGTCCAGATATACGGTGCCATCGGAATTCATGTTGTTGTACAGTTAATTTTGTTGTTTGAGATTAGGGGTTACTTTATTCACACAGCTATTGAGAAATACAACTGCTACCTAAAAACATCGGTTGATGAGGTTTCAAAACTGTATTCTCATTATTCTGGTCATTTACCTGATCTTCAATATCGAGTGAGTGCAGGCGGCAGTTGTTGATGATGTATGTCTGTAGTTTGTTGCGAATGCTTTTCGTTACGCGCCAAGTCTCTCAACCATCATATGGAAGCACTGAAATGATCGAATGAGTGTTGAAAATCCGGATGTTGTTCACGCTTTATGCTGAGCGCAGTGAAGTGCAGTGCAGATCTCCACACCGGTTTCAGGTTAATCTAGGAAGGCCTGTCTTGCTGTATTTCCAATGCTGGCTGACTTTGACATCCTCATGTGTGCCTGTGCCGCCTGTGGTTCAAATTTTACTGCCTAGGAACGTAGGTGGAAGTCACAATTTCTCTTAGATTTCTCCCGTTCATGGTGCATGTTGTTGTTTGGGTATCTTCATCACCTGTGTCTTATCTACGTCCACTTGAAGTCCCGTTTTCACTGCCTCTTCTGTCAAATTGTTAGTTTTCGCCTTTAGATCTTCGAGTTTGTGTGACATTAGAAATAAATCATCATAAATCATTCAAAAACAGCACTTAAAAACTCCGTACCTACCTTCAATCACAATATAATGTGGCATAGCATGTTTGTCAGTGTTGTCTATATTAAATTCCATAGGCCAATTCAACTGTTTGGTTGGAGTTAAAAATACCGGTGCAAATTGAATTGAAAGTAAAGTCTGTGAACTTAATAGTGTAAGCGTTTGTGTACGTTTATCTGGTAAAAATGATTTCAACATATCATACTTTTCAACTGACTGCAAGTTAGTGGAATTATCAGGATATTCCATAGGATATTTTCTTATTAAACATTCGATTAAATCTCCATCATGTGAAATGTTAATAGGTAGCTCTAAATGACTGGTTAAAATAGTAAGTTTGTTTGAATTTGTTGTAGTTTCTTTGGTTTGACTTCCTGTAACAAAAAATTCATAGACATAAGAAACAGGGAAAGTTAGATGGGATAAATTAGTTAATATATGTAGACCAATATGTATAAGTTTTTTGTTAGGTTTTTCTGAGAACAACTTATGATGGTCAACTTAAGCACCATCATCAACAGCATGTCTATTTGGATATTCTCACTAACACTAGATTTTAGCCTGCTTTATCTAAGTAACATTTTTTTTTGATGGATGTTTGTTGGTTCGAGACAATCTTCAGGAAGTCATTCTCTACCAGGTTTCGTGTTTGTTTACATTTGTTAGCAAGGCATATCTGAAGCCTCAAGGAAGCTGTCGTCCCACCTCTGAGGTTTAAACTCGCGTCACCCAGTATTGCTATCAGCGACGCTACCACTGAGGTATTCTGGCTGTGACTGACTTCTTGTAGGACTGTACCAGGATGCAAAGCCTTCTAGCTTTGAACCATATAGCAAAATAATCTACAGAACTTGGTGATCACTGTATATATATATATATATATATATATATATATATATATATATATATATATATCTGATCTCATAGTTTCCTTGGAAGGATCTGTTTTATTTACTTCGTCTATTCAGTTTGGCATTATCTATTACTGCATTGTCCTTCAAATTTCAATAGCACTCGAAGAAGCCATTCATCACCAAATATAATGAGATGCAGTGTACTTGTAATTATCTCAGGCGATTTCATATTGAAAGTTATAGCGGCTGAAACATATAAATTATTCTAATGGCATTGCTAATAAAGTGTACAAGTAAAAATTTGATGTTTTACGGTATCATGATACCTACTTTGAACTAAGTTAAAAGATGGTAATCAAATCCTTGATAGTTTTTCACTTGATGGGAAATGTATTCTTCAAAACAGAGAATTTGTTAGCTTAATTCATTTTAGTAAGAGATTTACCCTTTAGTGTGTTTATAGTTTGCAAATGTAGACAGTACTATGTAAGTGACTTTTATTAATACTAGGTGTTGATTAAATAATAAAATGAAAACCTGATTTACTGTGGGACTCGAACCAATGCCTTGTGAGTTTCCATTCTGCTGTTCCACCAACTGAGCTACGAGACCTGACTGCTGACAAGGTCTTACCTTCACTTCAAGCACCGTTGGTTTTGTCTGACTGCCATATGAGCTTGTAAGGCGTTATTATCGGTTTATCGTATTCACACTGACTTACTAGTCAGGAATTTTTATCCGGATTCAAATCTAACAGAGTTAGAGAGGAGGAAGATCAAATTGATTGTCATTTGACCATTAGAGATAGCCTTGGTTTGGCAGACTTGTATTGCTACTGAGTTTATTTTGTTTCAATCAAATACTTCTCTAAAAAATATTTTCTTAGTCATTCAGATAGATGATTTAATGACAATTGGTTGTGTCATGGTCATGTGTCACTGAATTAGGTGCAAACTAGTCATAATCATACTTACCGGTTAGTTGGATAGTCTGACAGCTTTTGAAAAACGCATCATATGGATCACTTGATGTTTTGATCTCACTTATTGTATCATTTGATCCTTTCACTATGGATGCAAGTTGAATTGGTGGACAATGGTGAAGTTGCCATTCTAATCTAGGTTTTGGATTTGACATTTCAACTTGACACATCAATTTCAGTTTATGACCTGCCTTTACTTGAACAACTGGAATGTGTTCATTGTTATATTTTGATTTATAATAACTTAAAATTCTTTGTAATTCATCACGTAATAATGACTTTGTAATCATTTGTCCAGTTCCACTCATAATACTTATGTTCAATATTGTTGCTGAATAAGCAACTCCAATTTCTATTGGTGAACTGAACTGTGTATCTACAAATCGATAACCAGGATTCATTGCACCACATCTAAAATTGAAAATGCAATATATATATATATATATATATATATATATATATACATAGTATTCTTCCACTAGAAGAATGTTTACCAACGAAGTCAGACTTTAGGAGATACTTATTTACAATCAATATAGATGTCTTAAGAAAGTAGGATAAATAAGTTCATTAATCACGTGTGTAATCGGTGAAACGTGTGGTTTAAAATAAATGCAACCTACTAACTTATTTCAGTTTGACAACTGTTCATACATAACAAAACTCATAGTTTAAAGTAAAAAGGTCTAATCATGTTCGTAGATCAGTGATATTATATGTAGATTACAGTCTTGTATGTACTAAATTTCATATTTTTCGATCGAACATGGTATCATATAAAAACCCTTATACTAAAAACTATACCCGTCGTACAAGAAGTGGCTATCGTGGCTTGGTGGTGTAGTGAATAGATAACGTGTTGGCGTTTGAAGCGACCACTCCAAATCCCGGCGGGAACAACATCACTCACTGAAAAGTAGGTACATCCAGCTGACCATTGAGTCCCAAATAAGACGAAATGGGCATCCTGGATTCCACTGCTAGCCATGATCCATCAATGACAGAAACTATCCAGTTTATAAATCAGAATTAGAGTTACTTTCACAACTTGTCTGGTCAATTTAACTTGAAAAATTTCCAAACTCTTCACTTTAACGAACGATAAAACCACACATTACAACTACCTCGAAGTGAATAAGTTTGATACGATTTATTTCCAAAGAAAGTGCTTCAGCAAAATATTTTATATTTTAAGCTCCCTTAATAAGTAAAGTTAAAGGAAGAAGGAAGAAATTTACATTCAAGGGAGATGCAATATCCAAGTGAGTAGACGCACCAATCAAGAGAACACTGTAACAAAGCATTCACACACACAAACTTCTATCAATATACAATATGACATCCTAGCTGAGCTAGTTAAAACTAAATAATCACCACCACCACCACCAACACCACAAACCCACTCCCCACAGTCTCACCTCCAACTGCATTCATCAATTCACATGCATTTATGACAGCGAATACATTGAAACAACTGAGAGGAGGATGTTCAGTATTCAGTTGACTGAACATATCTCCCCATGAATCTCCATTTGGAAAGGAGTCAAATTGTATTGAGTGTAATTACCAGACACCTGATAGTCACAGTATATCAGTTTGAAATCTCTAGTGATTTTGCAATAATCAACGTACATTGGATGTGTGGATTACTGGGCTTCTCGTGAGTGAGTGAGGGTGAAGGCAATAAGAGGAATTTCAAGGTGACGTATGGCATGCAGAATGAGAGTTAGGTTTCTCTATCACTCCCTTGATGAATATGATTTGATTTGATTTTCATTGTTATCATATCACTCTTCATGTATTTATCATTTTTAGTTTTCCTTTCCTACATTTCATAGCTCCGTACAACTCTTATGCTCTTTGTGATATATCATATGAGTTATGAATGATTTCGTTGTACAGTTTAAGATTATTGTTTTTCTAATGTTGAAGTAATTGTCTTGTGTGCCAATTACTAACTGGTGTACTTTCAGATTGTTTGCAACTGAAGAGTATTCGTGAAATAAAATATGATCGTAGTCTGCAAGTCTCATGTTTCTTACTTTCACCATAAATCTTTTATGCGTTAATGATATTTCTCCTACTGGGAATGGTCGTAAGTATTGGAGTTTGTTTAAAGTTTTAGTGTTATAGTTTTGGATTTCCGGTCGTTGATTGGACGAAACAGGTTGGTTTGTGTTGGGATATGTGCCTCTGAGCTGCGATACCTGGATATTATCGATACTTTCAGTTTGATAGTGATGACTGATTGATAATGGGGGCACTGAGCAGCTGTTTCGTCCTAGTATAGGACTCCTCACCAGTTTGCACCTGTTGGGGATGCTAACTGAAGACCTTGTGTGATAGTCACGCTATATCGTGAATTGACAGAAGTTAGAAATTGTGAACCATTGGAAACTGATCCAGTGGCTGAACCGTTAACACGTTCGCCGTAAAACCTGAAGGTGCTGAGATAGATCTGTAGCCGGGTCATGAGTGCGTACGGCTGAGGAGTACTATACTAGTTGGACGAGAAAGGTGTCCACTGCTCCCAGATTTTCAATGGTCCCCCAACTGATATCAGTCCATGATGAATACTACTTCTGAATTAAAAATCTCCATTCATTTCAAAAATATATGACATATATCTATTTTGGTGTTTTGATGGTACTTCGTAAGTTCATTGAAATGTATGGATGTAGAAGGTATCAATCTTAGTTTTAGCTTTTATAGATAATACGGAATACTTTTATAGCATTCGATTTATTCTTACTCAAATAATATCAGCAACGACTGATTTATATCTCGTTTTGAAAGGTTTCATCCGTTAGTTATCTGCTGAGTGTTATAAGATTTTTTTGAACTTACAGAAAAAGTATGAATCACATATATCATCCGAAAGTGTTGTTAAATGACTACTTTTATTGGTACAATTAAAACTTTCTAAATATTTTAATAAGTATTAGGTGTCATATAGTTTTGTTAAACTATTTGATGGCATTCCTACAGACAAATAAATCATTTTTTTTGTTGTCTTATAAGTTTTGCTGACTTAGGAGAAGAATATGAAGTTTCATAACTGACTTGTATGTTGTTGTAACGAAATTATGACATATAGTAAGTCTATCAAATGTTTAATTTCAATCACTGAATCCTCTTAGACAACAACTAAATTATTGTCAACAACTATATTTCTAAAAGGTCTATTAGCGGTAAGTAGAAAGTAACATTATTTCTAGCTAATTATGACACTTCTATTCACATATTATATATATATTTATCGATACTTTAGCACTGATAGATTTCAATGTTACTAGCGTTTTTCGGTATTTAGTATGACCACTATTTAGAACTATATCAATTACAATAAATTATAATAGTAATTATTTATCTTAATGTAACAATGTCATTATAGACTTAGGCTACAATTGATTTGTCGGTGAAAATAAATTATACAATAAGCATAATGCTAATCACGCAAAATAGTAACACTAATAAAAAAGGGAAGTTAACAACAAAAACATTTTAAAGTATTACTACACATAATAATGATAATGTATACTGTCATCATTATAACAAGTGAATATTAAAAAAAACTGGATCACAATTAATCATCCATCGATTAACTGAATTGAATGAGAACACATAACTGATGGGATAGAAAGTACATCTTTTAAATCAGTGATCCATATAAAAATTCACTCAGTGTATCTATTTCCTTGTATGATTATATCGTTTACTAAAAAGAAATATGTAATGATATAACCGAATAACTCAATGGTAAAGTACTGGCCAGGGAAATCGATCACTAGGGGGAGGGGGGTGGCGAAACAGCCTTTTCCAATGCTTCTAGGTCTTCAAAGTTCCTCCAATTGATATTAGTCCATAATGAATATCAACTTTAAAAAATTATATAAAAATTAAAAACACCTATCAGCAGAAATATGAAACCTGTATTAGATCTAAAGAAACTTACTTCATGATGAAGTGTATACATATTTACACAGATTCACTTAATTATACCTATGAAAATTGTTTGTGCTTAAACAATTTCATCTTTGTGAAAATTTTTTTAAATTTTGAGGGGGTTGTGGAGATTTGGAAATATTTCAAGTTGTTATTCATCGAAGACTGACATCAGTTGGAGGAAAAAAGGAAACCTGGGAGAACTGGACAGCTGTTTCATCCTAGTATGGGACTACTCAGCAGTGCGCACCCACGACCCCACCAGCAGGGATCGAACCCGCAACCATCAGGTTCCGCGACCAGCGCGTTACCATTGAGCTAGCCACTGGGTCACAATCCAGTGCTCCATATTTCCAACTTCTGTTAGCTCACGATATAGCACAAACCGCCACCCAATGTCATCGTTGAGTATTTGTCCTCACGGCCATCAGACTTTGACTCCACCGGTCACGACTTGTCATTGGAACTTTGGGAATACTTCTCGAAGTTAGTCACCAACGAGCACTAGTTCCTCCAACTGATGTCAGTCTTCGATGAATAACAACTTGAAATATTTCCAAATCTCCACAACCTCCTCAAAATTTAATTGAACTAGTGCTCGTTGGTGACTAGTTTCGAGAAGTATTCCCGAAGTTCCAATGACAAGTCGTGACCGGTGGAGTCAAAGTCTGATGGCCGTGAGGACAAATACTCAACGATGACATTGGGTGGCGGTTTGTGCTATATCGTGAGCTAACAGAAGTTGGAAATATGGAGCATTGGATTGTGACCCAGTGGCTAGCTCAATGGTAACTCGCTGGTCATGGAACCTGAAGGTCGCGGGTTCGATCCCTGCTGGTGGGGTGTTGGGTGTGCACTGCTGAGGAGTCCCATACTAGGACGAAACAGCTGTCCAGTGCTCCTAGGTTTCCTTTGTTCCTCCAACTGATGTCAGTCTTCGATGAATAACAACTTGAGATAATTATTTATTTATTTATTCATACAGTAGATGTTATGTCATTTGGAATACATTTCTAGCAATATTCAATCACTTATGTAATATTTATTCTATAGAATCTTAACGTTGTTATTATTCATTACAAGAAAATGGTAGAAATATTCAAGTAAATACATTGCAAAAATCATTATTACTAATAATTTAAGTGTAATTTTTTTAAAATATATTTTTACTCACTGAATTATAGCTCCATCATATAGTTTTGTTAGATTAATGTTTAAAGTTGAATAAAGCATACCATCAAGAAATTTATTTGATTGATTCTGTTGAATAATATAAGAATCATCAATTATTTCACTTTCATTTCTACTTCTTAAGGCTAAAACAACAATGAAAAAGTAATACATTAAACTAAAAGTTGATAATAAACTAGGATAATTCAAGTTGTTATTCATCGTACTCTGACATCATTTAGAGGAACATAGGAAACTTGAGAGCACTGGACTGCTGTTCCATCCATTGAGCCACTGGATCAGAATCCAATGGTCCAATGTCATCGTTGAGTAACTGTCCTCAAGACCATCAGAATTTGACACCACCGGTCACGACTTCTCATTGGAACTTCGAGAATACTTCTCGAAGCTAGTCACCAATGAGCACTAGTTCAATTGAATTTTGAGGGAGTTGCGGAGATTTGGAAATATTTCAAGTTCCTTGCTGGCCATGAAACCTGAAGGTCGCAGGTTTGATTCCTGGTGGGATTGTGGGTGAGCACTGATGAGGAGTCCCATACTAGGATGAAACACCTGTCCAGTGTTCCCAGGCTTCCAGTGTTCCTCAAACTGATGTCAGTCTTCGATGAATAACAACTTGAAATATTTCCAAATCTCCACAACTCCCTCAAAATTTAATTGAACTGGTGCTAATTGGTGACTAGCTTCGAGAAGTATTCCCGAAGTTCCAATGACAAGTCGTGACCGGTGGAGTCAAAGTCTGATGGTCGTGAGGACAGTTACTCAACGATGACATTGGGTGGCGGTTGAGCTATATATAGTGAGCTAACAGAACTTTAAAATATAGAGCATTAGATTCCGACCCAGTGGCTCAATAGTAATGCGCTGGCCGTGGTACATAAAGGTAGCTGGTTCGATCCCTAGTGGTGCGGGGTCGTGGGTGGGCACTACTGAGAAGTCCCATACCAGAAGAAAACAGCTGTCCAATGCTTTCAGGTTTTCATTGTTCCTCCAAGTGATGTCAGTCTACGATGCATAACAACTTGAAATATTTCCAAATCTCCACAACTACCTCAAAAAACTTTAATAAATAATTTTTTGTGGTTATACTACTCCACAATTAACTTGACATGTGATTTAGTGATTAAACAATGCAACTGAACTTTATATCCTGAATGTTGGCTTAAATTAATAACAAGCTAACACTGAGAAGTAGACGAATTTCTATCTGAAATCATAATTCATTGATTAACGAGTGAATATTCCTTTAAGAGTAGGTAAGTAATTTCATGCAGAAGAAATTCCACTGGTAGGTAGTAGCAATTTTCAGCAGTTTTCTGATGTAATGGTTAGTTAAGACCTGTACAATATAACCAACACTTCTTCAAGTATTCTTCTGTGCTTCACTGTATGCTTTATCTCAATATCTACCGCCTTACTGGAAATCTTCATTTGTTTCCTCAAGTATTTGCCTGATGTCAAGTAAGAGATGTTTCAACCGGTTAATGAGGAAAAAACAGTATTAAAATAATTGTGTTCCCATTGATAATTATAAATTTCCTCGAAAATTACTCTTCACAAATCAAAAATGCTAACCCAGATTAATAATTAATTGACTGAGATTGCACTCTCTATTTGACCTTATCCGCTATCACATATATGTGGCTGATCGTGAATTATCCTGGATTCTCAATGGTCACAACTATGGGGATTACTGATTAGATTCTATGCGATTATGTATGTGTTTTTCGATTTTCTGATTTTTTCATCTTGAAAAGTGTTGCCTAGGCTTTTTGTGAAACTCATATACGCATGCGCATTGCATTCATATAAAATTCACTTTTTGAAGTAGAAATGAACAAATCTAGTTACCATTCGCAAACTGCATGATAACAGGGAATTCAAAAACAGCCCACAGGATGACAGTACATCAAAAATGAATAAAATCTTATCAACAAAATGATTTCAGAACCTTTAACCTATATACAAAGACAACTTAACTGTCCATTAAACGATAAAGAGGATAATGGATGAAAGTCGAAGAATATCATATGTTATTGCATCTTAGTAATTATTCACTAAAAGTCGTTCCTAAGACCACAAAAGCAGAAGACAGACAGAATCAACATAAAATCTCGCGAGCAAGTTCATCGGTTCAAGTTGTCACATTTCACAGTGGTATACAAAGAAAAGGTGGATAGAAAAGTAGACGAAGTTGTGTGAGAGAACAAAACTTTAGACAGAGGTTGGTGCCAATATTCAAGCTTTAGAAGACGTCAGGAAATGAATTTGTCTGCGATACCAGGACCGATTTTCAGAGGTGTCACCAAAATTCCTCAATCACTGAGTTCTGTCGTCTCGTGGACCCCAGTTAAGCGGTCTACGCCTATCAACACGACTTAGACCAACAGTCAGGGACTTTATGGATTGGTTTCACGTCGTGTTCTGGCCACCATGAGTTGTTTTCCAACCTAATCTAACCTCACTTAGGATTGTTTGCTAAGGTAGGCGGTGGATTGGCATGCACAACACATGTCCATGCCACCTCAGACGATAGTGGTTCACAACCTTATCAGTTGACTTGCCTGTATCTCATAGTACCCTACGCCTAACCACAACAAAAGTAAAAACGAGCTACCCTTCATACGTCTGCAATATAATTTTTATCTTTTTGTGAAGGTCAAAATCATTCTTAAATGGAAACGTAGTACTAAACATTTATGCATCACCATGTGAAGGACACGAGTCATATATTGAATGAATCCACTTTATCCGTTGTCTAAATGGTACGGATTTTGACTTATTTAGTAATAAAGCATGTTTCCAGAAAATTATATTTTCCTAGATATCGTATAAACTATTGAAATAATATCATCAACCGCGTGGTTTTAGAGGAAAGAGCTAACTATATTTTGCAAAATACGTTCTTGAAATTTTATCTGCCAGCGTAAACTGTAAACAACTTTTTTCAAAGTGAAGTTGAATATATCATACGTTAGCTGAAACCGGAATATCTATCAGGGTATACGCTGTTTCCATCTATCTGCATATAAACAGCAAAGTTAAGGTAGATAAAAGTAAACGAAAGTAAATTTTGTATACTAATTAATAAGTTATTATTGATATGATTACACTATTCCGAATGTTACTATCGATTGTTTAGGTAAACAGAATTAATGCGTATTCAGTCTTTGCATGTAACTGAAGAAGGTAATTACTATCAATTGGTCCTTATACCGATGTTATGAACCAGTATCAAAATATGTTCTACTCTTATGTATCCTATTTGTTTCGATATAAGCATGTTTAACCAGAAAGCTTATTATTACAGACATTATAATAATAACAACAATTTTTATTATTTGTCCCTTGGGTTCCTAATGGAACATAGGGCTTCAGTAGCACGTCTCCATCCCACTCTCTTCTCTACAGTCTTTTCAACCTGGCTCCACGACAGCCAACAACCTCTCATTTCTTCCTCACACCATCTCCTCCATGTCACCCTCACCTCGAACGCTCAACTCGTCGCTTCCCATGGGGATTCCACTCGAGCAACTGGCCTGACGCGTGATGTCCCCAGTCAGCCTTCTCAGTGTATGTCTTATCCATCTCCACTTCCTTCCAGTGCATATTTTTTGAGTGGTAGGTTCTTGGTTGGTTCGTTCCCAGCTAGCCAGAGTTCCTTGTAGCTTATTCTTATTAATCCGGCCGGCCATCTGAGCTTCAGTAACTAGCCAGTGTAGGCAGTTGTTGATGAACCATTATTATAATGCTTCATTTAAAATAATATAAACAAGCTGATCTCCCTTTTGATGTTATAAACAAACACAATTAGTGCATTAAGAAGTTCATAACATATTTTACACCTTAATAGGAATATAATACGCTTGAAGTAGAAGTACGAGATACGTTTTAGATTAAACAGAATGGACAATTCTAAAAGATGTCTTCACTAAGAAAAAAATTTTTTTATTATGAATCCACATGCAAGTGGAGTTTACACCGTATAAACTCTTTGATAGGAGATTTTAGAGGCTGAAAAACAACAAATTGAATCGATCTTGGTCAAAGATTTTTTTTCATCGGATTTGATAATTTATATTTTTAACGAGGTATCTAAGTGTTATGCATTGAACTAATAGATCATAGAAAAAATAGATGCATTGAAAGTTACTGAATTAAATATTAGAAACTATAACATTGATCACCTCTGATATCGCACAAACTTGAAGATCTACAGGCGAAAACTAACAAGCTGACAGAAGAGGCATCGAAAACGGGACTTCAAGTAAATGTAGAGAAGACAGAGGTGATGAAGATACCCAACCGACAACAACATCAACAACAAGCACCAATAACCATGAACAGGAGAAATATAAACGAAGTTGTCTCTTTCACCTACCTACCTACACACCTACCTAGACAGCATCGTTTCAACTGCAGGCGGCGCAGGCACACATGAGGATGTCAAAGCCAGCCAGCATCGGAAAGACAACAAGACAGGCTTTCCTGCATTAACCTGAAATATTAAGTGTGGAGATTTGCTTCATTGCACTGTACTGCACTCAGCAGAAAGCGTGAACAACATCCGGATTTTCAACACCAAACGTCAGTCAAGTCAGTGCTCCCATGTGATGTTTGAGAGAGTTGGCGCATCACGGGAAGCACCTCCAACAAACTACAGACAATCATTATCAGCTGCCGCCCACACTCACTTGATACTGAAAATCAGATGAGAAGAAGAGAAAGAAGAAACAACAAGCAACTCTGGCCTCCTAAGGAACCAACCAAGAACCTATCATCTAATAAATATGCAGAAGAAAAAAGTGGAGACCGATTGGACTGAACATTCACTGAAAAGACCATTCGGTGACATTACTCGTCAGGCCGGGTAGGCCATCGAGTGGAAGCCAATTGGGAAACGACGAGCGGGGCGTCCAAGGCAAGAGTAACGTGGAGTGGATGGTGTGAGGAAGAAATGAAAGCATCTGAGCAGTGATGGAGCTAGGTTGAATAGAGTGCAGGGGCGGAGTGGAATGGAGACATGTTAGTGAAGCATATGTTCCACTAGAAACCCAAGGGATAAATAATAATAATAATAACATTGATCTCGGGAATTATATTTTCCAATATTCAGTTTTTTCATTGGTTTTGTTCAGCTTTCACAAAGTTTATAATCATCTGTAATAATTAGGATTTCTTACAAAGCCTTAAAGAGTGTTCCGTACACTTGACCTTGAGATATTACACGACATAGAAACCGGTATTTATTTTGTATGGATTTATTCAGCGCATAGTATAAAATACATATCTTATGTATTTGGTTATCTGACAGTGTCATTCATAGGGCTTGAATAAACTTATAACCATTTATTATTCATAGCAAAGATGGATAGTGGCTAGCAGCGGAATCCAGGATGTGCATTTCTTCCTATTTGGGACAGGTCAACTGGATGTACCTGCCTCCCAGTGAGTGATGTTGTTCCCACCGGGATTCTGTATCTTACTTCTGGCCACTATACATTTTTATTATAATTAGAACACACGTAATATCGAAGCATCCGCGTAGGAGCCCATATGTTAATAAAGACCGATCAATTCGGTCGAATCAACCTCGGTATAATACAGGCAATAACACTAAAACTATACCCGTTACAGAAGAAGTGGCTACCGTGACTCGGTGGTGTTGTGGATAACGCTCTTGCGTTTGAAGCGATCGCTTCCAAGTCCGAATCTGTGTGGAAACAACACCACTCACTAGGAGGCAGGTACATCCAGCTGACGAGTCCCAAATAGGACGAAATGCGCTTTCTGGATTCCACTGCTAGCCACTGCCCACAATTACTATACATAATTGATACACAGGCAATATCGAGGCCTCCTCACAGGAGCCCATATGCCAATAGAGACCGATCAATTTGGTCCAATAAACGACAGTATAATACAAGCAATAACACATTTATTATTCGCTTTAAAAAAGTAACACTTGTGTATTTATAAACAGTTTAGATTCAAAAAATGATACATTGTCCTACCTTGAGTCCAAATTAACTTTCCTGGAGGATTTCCTTGCTTTGCTGTGCAATGAAGTGAAAGAGTAGTACCTTCTGGTAATAAAACTCCTTCTTTCTGACCTGTAACCACTGGAACACCAGGAATCTCTGTACATTTAATAAAGAAATCAATTATAATCTAGTATAAATAATTTATAAAAGTAATATTTACCTTCTATATGATCTAATGAGAGAAAAGATTTCATTAAATTCAATAGTTTTTTTTACAATAAAATAAACTATAAATGAACTGATTATATATCATCAGGTAACTAAAACATTTTTACTTTTTTTACCTTTAACCAAACTTATCAATTATGTAAGGATTTAGTAGTAAAACTCTTTGAAGATTGCTTTACTAGAGTCTGCTATATTAGTGTGATTAAAAATGATTCCCTAGGCAGTAGTTAACATGCATATCTTTTAAAAGTAGTATTCATTATGGGATGATATCAATTGGGGACTCCTCAGCAGTATACACCTACAACCTGGCTACGGATTGAACTCAGCACCTTCAGGTCTCACGGCGAACGCGTTAACCATTCAGCCACTCGGTTGGTTTCCATTGGTTCACAGTTTCTAACTTCTATCAATTCACGACATAGTACGACTATCATCCAACGTCTTCAGTTAGTATCCACTTCACTTATGACTGGTTGAACCACAGGTTGCGCATGGCCTCTCATTAGAACTTAGTGATATCCATCTGGAAGCAAGTTACTAATGAGCACTAAACAATAATGCATTTTTGAGATGAATGAGGATTTTTAATTTGGAAGTTGTAAATTGTGAACCACTGGAAACGGTTAACATGTTTGCCGTGAGACCTGAAGGTGCTGAGGTCGACCTCCAGGGTGGTCATGGGTGCATACTATTGAGGAGTCCCATACCAGTTGGACAAAGCAGCTGTCGAGTGTTTTCAGATTTTCAATGATTCCACAACTGATGTTAGTCCATAATGAATACTACATTTGAATTAAAAATCCCTATTCATTTCAAAAATACATCCATTTCTTTTGTTTGAATTGACACAAAGCCAATCATATTAAGCACTTATTTGTTATGAATATAAATTATCTTTGGAATATTATTTCTTTATATGAATCTTATTCATTTTTATGATAGAAAGAAATAAACTGGTTCTTACAATCTTTTCATAATTGATCCTCATATTGAACCAAGATATACATTAAAAAACATTTTCATCATCATGTCAAACAATAAAGATATTTATATCTTCGGATAATTATAACTTATCAAAGAAATCTTGTCAAAATATTATTATTACTTACCGTATATTTCTAGATCAACTTGCTTTGATATCAATTCATCATTAATTTCTTTATGAAAATTTGATACAGCAGTACATTCTATTTCAGTCCATGTTAAAGCATTTCTTTTCATATTAGTTGAAACTAATTGTATAATTGATGCTTGATTAAAATTTAATTCATTTATTTCATTTGCATCATTTTGTATAAATGATTCAACTGGTGAAATAAATTCCCATTGTTCACTATTGTGTACTCTTCCTCTCCATCTAACTTCAGTTTGTCCATAATAAACTCCAGTTATACATAATAAATACTGTGGTCTATCCAGGTACAGATAAAGTTTTTGTTTATTTACAGTGGTTAAAATATTTTTGTTATTCAAACGGTTCAATTTATCAAAGTCAGTTACTTTCTGTTTTAGTTCAACCATTCTTTCATATGGACCATAGATATTCACGTAAGATGGACCGTCTAGTAAATAAAGAAATTCGGATAACATCATTTCATTTCTTTTCATATATGCATATATGTATATGTGTATAATAATAATTATCATTAATAATCCCTTGGGTTCCTAGTAGAACATAGGGCTTCACTAGCACGTCTCCATTTCACTCTACTCTCTGAAATCCTTTGAACCTAACTCCACGACAGCCAACAACCTCTCATTTCTCCCTCACACCATCTCTTCCATGTCACCCTCAACTCACAAGCCCAACCCGTCATTTCCCATCTGGGTTCCACTCGAGGGTCTGGTCAGCTGCGTGATATCCCCAGTCAGTCTTCTCAGTGTATACCCAATCCAATCCATCTACACTTCCTTCCAGTTCATATTCCTTGAGTGACTGCTTTTTGGTTGGTTCGTTACCAGTCAGAGTGACTTCCTTGTTGCTGATTCTTTCTCACCACCTGATCTTCAGTGTGAATAACGAGTCAGCGTAGACAGTTGTTGATGAATATCTGTAGTTTGTTGGAAATCCCTTTCGTAACGCGCCAAGTCTGTGAGCCATACAGGAGCACTGACTTATTTGACTGATTTTGGTGTTGAAAATCTGGATTTTGTTCTTTATGTTGATTTGAGTGCAGTAGATCTCCACACTGATTTCACTCTAATGAACGTCTGTCTTGCATCTTCTCCGATGCTTGCTGGCTTTGACGTCCCCATCTATGTCTGTGGTTGTAGTTGAAACAATGCTGTCTAGATAGGTGTAGGTGAAGTAGGCTACTTCCTTCAAGTTCGTTCTGTTGATGGTGATTGGTGTTTGTTGTTGCTGTTGTTGGTTTGGTATCATCACTACCTCTGTCTTGTGTACATTCACGTGAAGGAAGTCCGGTCTTTGCTGCCCTGTCTCTTCTATCAACTTGTTAGTTTTTGCCTATAGATCTTCGAGTTTGTGTGACATTAGATATAAATCATCGGCGAAATCCAAATCCTCTAGGATCTTTTCCGCTGCCCAGACATCCAGTGTATCCGCCTCTTTTCTCTCTCCACACTTGTCTGCTGCATGATCCATTCCACTACAATTAGGAATATCATGGGTGATAGTAGACAGCTTTGTTTTACTCCTGTCTTCACTTCAAAAGTGTCACTCGGCTTTCCATTGTGAATCAATTGGTATATGGCGTCTTCATATAGTTGTTGAATGAGATTGATAAAATTTTGTGGTATTTTATAGTGTTGAAGCAGTTACCTGCCAAATTACTCCTCGATCGACGCTATCAAAGGCTTTTTCAAAGTCGATGAAGTTGAGGTAGAGAGTTGACTACCATTCTATACTCTTCTCTATGATGATGCGAAGCGTTGCAATTTGCTCCGCACATGATTTTTACTTCCTGAATCCATCCTATATGTATACAAAACTATATCCTAAAAAAAGATCATCACTGTAGAAAGGTAGCTTCATCTTCAGGTGAAAAAAGTAAATCAGTGATATATGACCTCTGTATTAAACTCAATTATTATTTTACATGAATGAAATTTACAGAGACTGCTTGTGCATGACGTAAAGTTATTTTTGATGCCCTAGACTGTTACAGAATATTTCTTTTGCTTATTCGTTCCCTAAAAAAACGTTTTTTTATTCTATCTTGACATTTTAATTTTTACACTGTTAAGTGTAACAAATACCACTGGAATATAACATTTCAAATATGAAATTGATTACAGGAATCATTTTCATTTCTGAATATAAATAACATGATTATTTTAGTATAATGTATAATAAATAGTTTCTATAGCCTTCTATTCTAAAAAGACTTTGGTTATTGACCATAAAATCCTGTTATGAACAGCTAATCTTGACATCCATAGTTACTCTAAATTTCAAGCATCAACCATAAAGTATATTAGCGGCCACATGTATTCAATATGAAGTATGAAGTTAGTTACATGAGTTTATATGATAAATGCTCCTAAACGTAACTGTAGAACAGATGGATAAAATGTTTGTTTTAGCAAGAACAAATTTATGGCAGTTATGTGCACTTCGAATAAACTGATGATAATTATCTATCATAAAAACACTTCCTCGAATAGATTTCGTTTACAGAACTCACAAACTACTTGTTGAGTATCTTTCAGTTAATGGGCATTATCTATGCCTTATAAATATATATTTGTGACTGAGTGCGACTAACTGACTTCGTCATGTTTAGAATTAGCACTGGATGATGATTGAAGTTTGAATGAAAACTCAATCCGTGTCAGGATAGAAACCAGAGACCATCGAGATTCAGGCCAACTGCTCTACTAACTAGACTATGAAGCCTGACTGCTTTTAATTCTTGAACTGGTGTCTGTATGGAGATCAAACTTAATAAGTGTACACCGGAACCTATATATCGGAATACTTATTTACCATTATTTATTTCAATAGATCTGAGAGAACACATTAAGAATAGTGTATTGTCTCAGACTAATTATTAAAGTGTTTCAAGTATAGTGCATACTAAGTAAGTATATATGTGTTATGTATGTACATTCTTTAGCATATTTTGAGTTGGTTAGAATTCATATGCATACTTTGCATATATTATAGACTGGACAAAACCATCATATGTATATTACTTTTCAGTTATCATATAAGCTTAACTTCAACCTAGTATGGCTGGGAAGATTTTATTACCGGTGTTTGGTCAGTGTTTCTTCAACATTTGTATACTTTTATCTGAAATAGAAACAAGAAACAAGCTGGAACATCTAGTTTACTACTGATTAATATTCAATTACAAAATATTTCGTTTCAAACTTTTGATCAAGTTATTCCCTTTTACCATGTTTTGCAGCAAATGCAGCTTGTTAAGGGTGTATTAGCCTAGGATTGGTTCAAATATTGTCCTGTGATAAAAATCTAACCATGAGATTATCAGCATTCAGTCAAAAAGTGTGAATCCTGGTTTGTATTATTTACAGGCTAATTTAGAGTAAGGCTTTTAATTATTCGAATATCTTTGTCAGTTGATAAGTAGTCAAGACGAAAAAGAACCAGTGTATGGGAAGATAAATTTCGTTTACTACTATACTATATTCGTAACATTTTGTGTATTCACTTATAGATTATACTTATATTTCAGGCTGTCTGATTTCAGTCTACTTGACTATAAGATTGTAAAATTGAGTTCAGGATGCAAGGGAAATAAGAACACAAACACATCAGTTATGGCTGTATGAATCTGACTGTGTTTGAGGTCAAATAAATCCAATATTCCACACAGTAGTTTATTTCACCTGAATCCTATACATTTTTACATTAAGAAAAGTGAATCAAGAGGTAGTAACATGTCATGAATTCACATGGTAGCTGGGCAGAACCCCACCTTGCTATATAAATGAAATCGAAAGCTGGTCAGCAGTCGGACCTCATAGCTCAGTTGGTAGAGCATCGGGCCAGAAACCCAGTGGTCACTGGTCCGATTTTTCATTTCACCTCCAATCATCACCTAGTATAAATATTTGTATAACAAACATCTTGTGGGATATACATGCCAAAATATTTCAAGTCTGCTTACTATGCAAATGATTTCCAAATTGCATGGGGTTCACTTCGATGTTTTTCATAGCTGAAGAAGTTCAGCTGCTCAGTTGTGGTGTCAATAGGGTTCCTGTTTGAAACCACTCCGTTAAGGTCATAGTGTGTGTGTGTGTGTGTGTATAATCTCTGATACAAAAGTGTCATGAACTGGTGAAACATTACTACTGCATAACTTGAGTTGTTAGAAGTCATTAAAGCTGATGTACAGATCTCGACTGCCAGATCACAGAAATCTAAACATCATACGACCGTTTCACTCGTTCGGTGCTGAGATTATTAGTGGTATATCTCAACGAATTCAGCTCACAAAGTCTAATTACTTCAGAATACCTGAATTCGGTTATCAGACGGATCTACCACCTAAAATAGGATGATTAATATTGCAAGTGATTTACCAAACGAACGATTCACACTGACATTACTCACAGCTGAATAGTTTTTCAGCAGCCCAATATTGATGCTGACAGTACTATAAACAAACAAAACGGCCATCTAATGTTTAAGTTACTCTGATCTGGTTGGTGAAATGTACAAATCAACTTGAGCAATTTTCGACTACTTCAGTTGTTTAGCAGAAGTAGTACATTTTGGACTACTCTCCCTGATGACTATATAATCTACATCTATTTTCATACTTCAAGTGGCTACAAATTTTTCATCTTGATTTTCTTAATAAGTTTTGTTTTTCGTATTACTTTTGTAGATCTAATCACTTCATGAACATATATTGAAGATAAATATTTACATGAGAAAAATAATAGAGTTTTTGTATATTTTTGGTACAAAATAGGAAGTAAGAATAAATAATTTCTTTTGTTACCGAATAAAGAATAAAGTTTTATTCCTAATGGAAGAAATTCTTCTCGTTGGGTAATTACTGACAGAGTAAATCACATATAACCAGTCAGAATCCTGATAATATGGTAAAAGGTGGAAGTAACAGTGTTTGGGCTTCATGCTTTCCGTAAAACAAAAGTGATTTCTTCAAGGGACCAAGAATTATATCAAAGCATTACATGTATGTTTCCATGCAAAAGTATTTGAGTGATTGAGAAACCAAGCCATTTTTTTTAATTTTTAACTCTTAATAACATCACTTTTCCAGGTTGACAGTAAAATGTCCACTTCATCTAACGTCTTCAGTGCATTCTAATAACACATGTATCAGTAAATTATAGATTCTTGACGGTCAATTGGATAAAACAATTCATATTTATACCAACCTTTTGTATTTTCGTTTACTGTTATTATTTTTGCCTAACATTCATTACCCTTTTTTCCCCTTCACGTTCATTTCGTTACAAGTTCTTGAACCTATATCAGCAAATATTCATGCTAGATCGTATAGTGATGATATCATTCAGTGATTTGATAAGAAGTAAATCTTCTCAACATGATTTTACTCAATTTCTTCCCAAATTGGTCAAATGAATGAAAAAA